TTTCTCTATTAACTTGAAGTTGAGGATGACTAGCTCAGGTATAGAGGTCTGCAGTGTATACAGCTACACTTGATACAGTCTGCTACAGGAAACCACGAAAGGAAACTTCTAGTCTGTCTTTGCGCTTAATAATCTCATTGCACAGATCTGCCTTGGAACAAATCTTGTCCTTCTTGAGTATAAGGCAAATGCTTGCTTCTGTGATTTAATATAGAATGATACAGCTAATTATGCATCCAATTGCTATTATTAGCTTCAGTGTCTCTCCCCTTTTTATGTTTGCTGCTGATTGTGGAAGGAGATAGTAAGCATTCATTTCTTAATTGTCTCTTATTAATAGCCAATCCTATTAGGGAAGGAAAACAAGCATTTCACTTCCTCAGTTTCTTCATTTTCATTTCCTCCTCATTAACACATTGCCCTTGTCACTCAAGGAAGACATCCATGCAGAGTTAAAACCAGAGAACTCCAAGGCTGTTCTTGTTTTGTGTGAATCTCTTTACGCTCCCAGATTCCTAGATGTAAAAAGTTTGGCAAAGATTAGATGATTTGTTTTCTGGAGGCTTACCCTAAAAAAGCAGAATCTGATGTGCAAAGCAGCCACAAATTACTGTTCTCATTTGAAATTGGGAGGGCTCAGCACTTCTGAACAGTTTAGGGTCTTTTATCTTTCAAAATCAGCTACCCTCCCTTTTGTATATAGCAGCAAATTTTGTATGGCTTTTAAGAAGCCATATCTTTGAGATCTTGAAATCTATTACTGAATCTGTGTTGCATTACACTGAAGGGGAAAATACGGTACTTTGAAACTTCAGTGAAGGTTCTTCGAAATCCTAAGCTATTCAGGTTTTAATTCTGATTCAACGCTAGGAAAAAATATATGCATGTTAAAAATATAATAATGCCTGTGGCTCTCCAGTTAAAAGGACTGAATTAACCCAGAGAGCTGCTACCAGTCACAGAGTAACACTCATGCAGGTAGAGTTCCAGTCTTAGAGGGGCTTCTGCACACAAGGAGGCACTGAAAATCACAGTTCTTTTAGAAAGTCTTGTTAGAGGTCATTAGGGAATTACCTGCAGTCTGCAATCGTATAACAAGTTTATTTTCTATAGCAGTTGCATTTTGTTGTACCATCTTAGAGGTGAGTAACAACAAGGCTCTTTCTCGTGTTTTGTACAGCACTGCTGCAATAAAAACAGCGTTCTGCCATGTGATGAGATGACCTGTGCAAATATCGGAGAATTACTAAGAAGAGGAAGTTAGAGGTTTCAGAGGCAGGGAGGGAAGGAATGAGACTTTTGCATGTCCAGTTATCTTTCTGAAGAAAGGAGAGGATATATAGAGAACTGGTGCCCAGCTTAGATTCTTCTGCTAGACAGTCACTAGAGCTTCATTCAGAAACATGGGTCAACAATACTGAAGGCCAAATACTTTAACTAAGTACCTTTTGTCTTTGGGAAACATTTCAGTTTGAAAAGAACAACTTTTGCAATGAATTACATTTTATGTACAGTGCTATAACCTGTTCCACATTTTACTGGAGTTTCAGTGGCAGGCCAATAGATGTGCAAGTGATAACAAGCACGATACTTATGACAGAATTAATATTTTTTTTTTCTATTAAATGGTAGACATGCACCTTGGCATTGAAGAGGTTTTTAGCATACTGTGGGAGAACAGGATTGTGGAAGAAGCAGGAACACTGGCAGAGGATGGCCCATGAGCATCTCCAGATGACCTGTAAACAATGCCTGGCGCCCCTGACTGATGGAGGGGAATTCTGCCCGCCTGGCGGTTGGGGGTTGCAGGGGCGTGTCGGTTGGGAAAGAAGATACACTGGCACTATATAAGCTGCCTGTTGGTTATAATAAATGATTCTGGTTACATCACCGACCGGGGTCCGTGCTTTCATATGCTACAAATGGCGCCCAACGTGGGACATTAATCAGGAGACTAAAGCCGTCCGGAGCGGTAGCGCAGCCCGATGGAACCAGGGGTTGCCTCGGGGAGAGACTTCACCGCCGGCTCATCGCCTTCTGCAGGACAGAGGTGAGCGATCGGGAACTATGGGAAACACTCTGCCGAGAGCGGAGCAGAGAAGCACCCTGCCCACAGAGCAGCAAAGGGATCTAGAGGTATTACAGTGTATTTTAAAAGCTCAAAAACCGATCTGTACCTACCCTGTCCTTAATAACTTTCTTAGACTGGGTATGAAAAAATGTTCCGGACTATCCCGAGACCGGCACCCTTGACAAAAACACGTGGGACCAAATTGGCACAAAGCTTTGGGATGCTGCTGCAGGGACAGATAAAGCTGCAGCTCAACACTTACTAGTTTGGCGGCTGATACTTCAAGACCTAGTAGAGCTCCGCAAAGAGACAAAAAAGAGCTCTGAGGAGAGCCTAACGAGACCTTCTGCCCCGCCACCGCCACCCGCAGACAACACCTGCGTTGCAGAAGAGAGTCTCTCAGGAGAGTCCTTCGATCCTGGGCCGACAGACCCAGACCCAGAACCTAATCTACCTCTTCTTGATAATGAAAAGGCGGAGGCAGTGGGAAATAACCTAACCCTTTCGAGTGATTGTCGTGGTGTGTGGGACAAATGTCAAAAAGGCGACACAGACATTTTGCAAGCGTTTCCTGTTATTTATCACGGAAATTGACATGGAGCGGAGGAGGCTTTAGATTATGATCATGTTAAACAGTTGAGGAAATCGGTAAAAGATTATGGTCTCCAATCAGGATATACCATGACCTTATTAACAAGACATTTTGCAAGCGTTTCCTGTTATTTATCACGGAAATTGACATGGAGCGGAGGAGGCTTTAGATTATGATCATGTTAAACAGTTGAGGAAATCGGTAAAAGATTATGGTCTCCAATCAGGATATACCATGACCTTATTAACAACTCTTGGTGATGGGTATGTTATGACTCCTCATGATTGGAAATTCTTGTTGCGTGTGATTTTGTCGGCTGTGCAATATGTTGTATTCATGACTGAGTACCGTGATCTTGCGACTGCTAAAGCCCTGGGTAACTTAGCAGGCAATTTAAATCCTATTGGTGTGAATGAGCTCCCGACGCGCAAGCCCAGATGGACAGACAGTGCTTTGAGCAAGTAAAAGACATTGTACTGCGCGCCGTGAGACAACGAGACCTTCTGCCCCGCCACCGCCACCCGCAGACAACACCTGCGTTGCAGAAGAGAGTCTCTCAGGAGAGTCCTTCGATCCTGGGCCGACAGACCCAGACCCAGAACCTAATCTACCTCTTCTTGATAATGAAAAGGCGGAGGCAGTGGGAAATAACCTAACCCTTTCGAGTGATTGTCGTGGTGTGTGGGACAAATGTCAAAAAGGCGACACAGACATTTTGCAAGCGTTTCCTGTTATTTATCACGGAAATTGACATGGAGCGGAGGAGGCTTTAGATTATGATCATGTTAAACAGTTGAGGAAATCGGTAAAAGATTATGGTCTCCAATCAGGATATACCATGACCTTATTAACAACTCTTGGTGACGGGTATGTTATGACTCCTCATGATTGGAAATTCTTGTTGCGTGTGATTTTGTCGGCTGTGCAATATGTTGTATTCATGACTGAGTACCGTGATCTTGCGACTGCTAAAGCCCTGGGTAACTTAGCAGGCAATTTAAATCCTATTGGTGTGAATGAGCTCCCGACGCGCAAGCCCAGATGGACAGACAGTGCTTTGAGCAAGTAAAAGACATTGTACTGCGCGCCGTGAGACGGGTCCCTGATACAGCCGCTCCAGAAGCTTCCTTTTCTGCTATCACACAAGTGCCTGGAGAACCTCATATAAAGTTCCTTCATCGGCTCCAAAATGCAATAGAAAGACAAGTAGATAACCGAGCAGCTCATGATACTCTCATGAAACAGTTAGCCTTCGAAAATGCTAATGCTGACTGCCGTAAAGTGTTGCGAACAATTAAGAATGCTAATCCCTCCATCACTGATATAATAAAAGCGTGCCAAGATATCGTCACAGAAACTCATAAAATGAGTCTCTTAGCTGATGCGTTATCAACACAGCTCGTTGTGGGGGCTGCTCTGAAAGCAGAATGTTACAATTGTGGAAAGCCTGGGCATCTTAAAAAGGGTTGTAAAACGGTTAAGCAAGGCAGTCGAGAAAATCACTTCATGCCAGATCAACCATGCCCTCCCTGCGGCAGGGGACTGCACTGGGCAAGCGAATGCAAATCCAAATTCCATGCTGATGGTCAAACCCTCGGGGGTTCAGGAAACGGGGGGGAGGAGCGCGAGACCGCAGGACGACAACAAATACAGTCCCGAGACCGCAGAACAACGCTTGGCCAGCGTGCTCCGACCAGCCACAGCTGGAAGCGCAGGAGTGGACCTGCCCACAGCCCAGTCGGTAACTCTAGATACAACAGCAGTTGTTCTCATCCCTACTGGGGTGATAGGACCTCTTGGAAATGGCAGGAGTGCTCTTTTGTTAGGGTGTTCCTCCACCACACAAATGGGACTTTTTGTTCTGCCTGGAATAATTGATGCTGATTTTATGGGAGAAATCAAAATTATGGCTTGGACACTGTCTCCACCTTGTTTTGTTCCAAAAGGGCAATGAATTGCACAATTAGTACCTCTCCTTTCTGTGACCAACCCTGGGGAAGGGAATCGTAACGGTGAATTTAGGGGCACTGGAAAACCTGTAGTTTTATGGACAAAACAAGCGTTTAAAGAACAGCCTTTTTTACATTGCCAGGCCCACGATCAGCACTTTTCTGGTCTGGTGGACACAGGAGCAGATGTCACTATCATTAATATATCAGACTGGCCTCCTGAATGGCCACTGAGAGATCCCACCTCTGCTATTCTGGGGGTAGGAGGTCTTCAGAAACCCAAAGTGCAAAGATACTAACTTTCAAGGGACCTGAGGGTCAGATTGCACATGCAGCTCCTTACATCCTCCCCGTGCCCTGTACATTATGGGGCTGTGCCCTGTACATTATGGGGCCGAGACTTGTTAAGCCAGTGGGGAATCTTCCTGAAAACAAATTTTCAATAGGGGCTATTGACAAGCAGCAGGTCCTTTCATTGACATGGAAGTCAGAAAAACCTGTTTGGGTAGATCAGTGGCTCCTGAAAAAGGATAAACTGCTGCATTTGCATGACTTAGTACAAGAACAATTGGCCACTGGCCACATTGTACCCACCTCCAGCCTGTGGAACACTCCTGTATTTGTAATACCTAAGAAAAGTGACAAACGGTGATTGTTACATGATCTTCAAGCGATAAATGCAGTCATTGAGCCCATGGATACGCTACAGCCTGGTCTTCCTTCACCTTCTATGCTGCCTCAAAACCGGCCAATAGCCATCATTGATCTCAAAGACTGGTTTTTTGCTATTCCTCTACACCCAAAGGATGCACCACGGTTTGCATTCTCTGTACCAGCTGTCAATCAGGAACAGCCCACACCACGATATCATTGGACTGTGTTGCCACAAGGTATGCTAAATAGCCCGACTATCTGCCAATTAACTGTAACAAATGCTTTACAACCTGTCCGAAATGCAAAACCTCATGTTATAATCTATCATTACATGCATGACATACTTTTAGCTGCCGAAAAGGACTCAGACCTGCAGACAGTCATCTGCCAAGTCTGCCTTGCTGTCCAAGGAGCAGGCTTGCAGATAGCCGAGGAAAAGGTCCAACGTGAACCACCCTGGAAATACCTAGGATGGAAAATTACAACTCACACCATCCAGCCACAAGCACTCCAGCTGGCGTTACAAATAAAGACTCTGAATGATCTGCAAAAATTGTTGGGAACCATCAACTGGCTCAGACCTTTTCTGGGTATCACTACACAAGATCTGCGCCCTCTGTTTCAATTGTTAAAGAGTGATCCTGACTTGAACTCTAAAAGACAGGTGACACCTCCTGGACTGCAATGTCCAATCTTACTTTCTCATACCCCACTTTCCAATGCAGTTACTGCATTCACAGACGGTTCCGGGAAGACACACAGAGCAGTGGTCCTTTGGCAATCCACCAACAATCTCTGGAACCAAGACATTAAATGTGTCGATGGATTGCCCCAAGTTGTTGAACTTGCAGCTGTTACGCGTGCTTTTCAGCTTTTTTCTGATGTAAATCTCAATATCATAACTGATTCTTTATATGTTACAGGAATTGTTCAGCGTATAGAAGGCACTTTCCTAAAGGAAGTCAACAACCCAGAGGTATTCAGACAATGTTTCCTACCGTAAATTACCCTATTATGTCATGCATATACAGTCACACACCTCTCGTTGAACTTGCAGCTGTTACGCGTGCTTTTCAGCTTTTTTCTGATGTAAATCTCAATATCATAACTGATTCTTTATATGTTACAGGAATTGTTCAGCGTATAGAAGGCACTTTCCTAAAGGAAGTCAACAACCCAGAGGTATTCAGACAATGTTTCCTACCGTAAATTACCCTATTATGTCATGCATATACAGTCACACACCTCTCTTACAAGACCCCTAGCCGAGGGCAACTGTGCTGCTGACAAAGCCACAGTCACCCTCACCACACCACAATTATTTCAACAGGCACAGCTCTCACATAACTTCTTCCACCAAAACAGGAAGGCACTGCAAAAGCAATTTCAGCTAACCACTGACCAAGCACATAATATTATCTTGAAATGCCCTAAATGCCAATCCATAGCCCCATTGCCACAATTGGCAGTTAACCCATGTGGCACCTCACCACTGCAAATTTGGCAAACGGATGTTACACATTTTGGAGAATTTGGTTGCCTAAAGTATGTACATGTCACTGTTGATACTTTTTCTAATTGTATCTTTGCCACTGCACATACAGGAGAAAAGAGTTGAGATGTTTGACGACACTGGCTAGCAGCCATCACTACTATGGGTATACCAGAAACTATCAAGACTGACAATGGCCCTGCATATGTATTGTCTAAAACCACACAACTTTTTTTACAGGAATGGGGCATTTGCCACATCACTGGAATTCCACACTCCCGTACAGGGCAGGCGATCGATCGTTGACCGTGCCTATCAAATGCTAAAACAATTGCTAATTAAACAAAAAAGGGGGAGTCTGGAAGATCCACCACAGGAACGACTGTGGAAAGCCACTCTTGTTTTGAATTTTCTAAACAGAGACAACACTGGAATGACACGAGTGAATCAACACTTCGGAGCTTCCCCAATGTTCAAAACACAGCCAATGGTCCATATTCGTGATACCGCCACTGGACAATGGGAAGGCCCCGCGCCATTGATAACTTGGGGGCGAGGATACGCTTGTGTTTCCACAGGAAATGGTCCCAAGTGGATCCCAGCATGATTCGTTCGACCATATCTAGAAGCCGAGTAGCACGAACAATCATCAGAAACGACAAAGGAGTGAATCTTTTCTGTTCACAAAAGTATCATTGGTTTTAATGCTATCAGGCCTGATAGTTCTGTTAATGATTATGTTTTGTTTACCATGTTTGTTTCCCCGTGTTACAAAAGCATAAATCAAATCATGTATGCTCAAACGCACACTGTACTTGCCTTGCAAAGTATGATGTTAGAAAAAGAAGTTTATGTAGAAACCAGCCATGGCGTAAGAGAGTTATAGGAATCTAGTTAATAGTTTTATGATTTATAGTAGTTTTAATAAGATGTAATACACATGTCATTATTCTGTACATTAAACAAAAAAGGGGGAGATGTGGGAGAACAGGATTGTGGAAGAAGCAGAGACCAGAACAAGAAGCAGGAACACTGGCAGAAGATGACCGTTGAGCATCTCCAGACGACCTGTAAACAATGCCTGGGGCCCCTGACTGATGGAGGGGAATTCCACCCGCCTGGCAGCTGGGGGTTGCAGGGGTGTGTCGGTTGGGAAAGAAGATACATTGGCACTATATAAGCTGCCTGTTGGTTATAATAAAAGATTCTGGTTGCATCAACGACCAGGGTCCGTGTCCTCATACGCTACAGTATACATTCCAACAATGGGTGGATGCCTCTTGAGAGGAAAGGGGCTAATCATGTTAAAGATGTTGATTTAATACTATGTTACAAATCAATGAAGTGAAATCAAGAGATTCACAGACTTCTAGGTACCACAAGCTCCCTCTACATCTGCATCAACATAGTTGGAACTGGGACTTATTTAGCAGTATTCAAGTCATTTTAGTACAGCTGATTATTATTTTAGCGTAAGACTTGTTCAGCACAGTAGGGAGATCTAACATAGCATGAGGTAAGACCATTAAGGGTCCATGGCTAAGATACTCATTTTAAGCCTTATGTAATATTTTAATGCAATATTTATCAGAATCTACAGTGAAGGCAAAAAGTATATGCCTGAGGAGTTTATTTACTATTCTTTTTGCAGATTCTCTTAGAAATATAATAAAGATAGGAATCATTTGTTCATTGTTTTGCTTTGAATGGAGGAATTTTTATTATTATTTTATGAGAACTGCCAAGTATGTGTATATATCTGTTAAACAGAAAACCTATTACATCCACATTCCTAACATGCAGGCCCAGGTCATGGGTGGTGAAACCAGAATAAATAGTAAAAATAGAATTCCTCCTATTGCTTCTCAAGCACATGGTCTTTCACAAAAATTCTAAGTGATTCTCATCTCTAGTGCACATTAACTCTTTCCTGTTTCTCGATCTGGGTTTCAGTCTGTGGGAACAAGCATGTTCTGTGGTCCCGTTTCTGCTGGAAATACATGCTGATGTCCCAGAAGATGATCCTCCTTCCTAGAAGAGACTCCAAAGACTTCCAATGTTTTGGGGGCAGTGAGGTTGATTGCCCAACTGTAAGGGCTGTAACATTTCATACTGTAACAAGGAACTTAAAGGGATGCATTTTGTGACATGTCAAGTGATTTTAACTCTATCTAAACTCAGTGGGAACAGAAGGGAGTCAGCACACATTTGGATTATGTCCTGAGATAAGCTGTTCTGTGCTTCAAATTCTTGTATGAGTAGAAAGCCTGTAAATAAAATGCAATGAAGTGAATTTAATCTAATAATAACAATGCATAGCAATCAGAAATGTTCCATAGTAGACGCAATGAGAATCTCATGGAAATGGATTGAGAAACGCATCTCATTTGAGTTATCCATACAGCCTTCATTAACAAAGCAGCAAGCACAGCACAAATAGCATAAACATCTGAATGAGGTACAGATGCCCTTTTTCTAATTCTGTGAACCTTTTTCAACCTCATGCATTGGTTGAAAAAAACCATTTGTATATCAACACAGTGGCAATTCAGCATTATGCCTTCAGAAAAAAAAAAAAAAAAAAGTAGTGTAAAAAGAACATCAATTTTGTGTCCAGTGCAATATTCCTTATATTATTACTGAAACTTCCTTGGTAAAATTTTGCATCCATTGTCATCTCTGTATACACAATAGCTTTCAGGTAATCACATAAAATTATGTTTCTCCAGTGGGTATTTTGGAAGCCTTTATTTCATTGAGCTGTTTGGTGTGTCATGCTTTGTTTTCTTTCTTTCTCTTCTTTTTTTGGTTTTCAGGAATTACTCTACATTATGGGTGAAGATACCTGCTGCTTTTCTTGAAATTAAAATAATTTATTTGTTAAATAATGCATAAAATTTCTTTTCCAGCCTCTTTTCCATAATTATTCTCAATCTTTGGCAAACAAGCTTGACCTATGGCCGGGGTGCTGTGTACAGATCCCAGGAAAATTTGTTTTGTTCTGTTTGTGGTATTGTCTGCCACTCAGCTTAGATTTTTGGGTCTTATGTTCAGCATTATAGCTGGTGCGTGTTTGGTTACAGGGTGACAGAGGATGTGACATCCCCAATACCGGTCACATTATTTCTCATTAACTTCTATGATTTTTGCTCTTCTGCTTCAGGAACTTCATCCAATTCAGGCAAGAAGAATGAGAAACTAATATGTATATAAAACAGGTATCTAGTGTAGAAAATGAATGCCTAGTCTTGTGGCAGAGGGGAAGAGCAGTACTCAGACTCCCTTGCTTGTGAAAATAAGTATGTGGCAGGTGTGACCAACGGAGCCTGTTTTAATTTCTTTAGTCTGATTAAAAAGAAGGAGGTCTAGTTTTTTTAAACTATTCTTCACTCAGGAAAACAAGATGATAGCATCCTACTTCTCTGTGGTCCTCTTGGCTTTCACTTTTTCAAGGCCTCACAACATGTAGCTCTTCTCTGAAGCTGTATCATTGTCTGATCTTTCATTGCAGTCTGCATGTTTTATTATTTGCAGGAAAAAAAAAAAAAAAAGGAAAGCCTGAAAAAAAGAAAACAAATGTTCAGAAACAGAATGGGAAATGCTATAGAGATTTTTTTTTATGTCTTATATTGCGTTAGTTCAAGTGATCCCATGGATATTTTTTGGTCTCAGTTTTGATTTCTGAATGTTTGTAATAATCACAACTTCCTTTCTAGTTGCTTCACTTTTGCTTTCTGAACTCTCCTAGAGCATACCATTTTCACTGTCTTTTCCTGAATAATTCTACAATTAAAATATGTTCTTAAAATTATACTGGCTCCATCGTATATATTTTTTATCATAGAGTCATTACCTGCTTTTTATAGCTTCCTCTTTCTTTCCTGCATTTTTCACTGCACTTTATTGTAATCAGTCAGTACTGCTGTCTTTCCCCATCCTATTCTATCACTTCAAGCCATTTTTCCTTCTCTCTCACAAGCCAACTGTATAAAACATTATTTGTCTTATCTATCTGTTAACAAAAAAAGCATTTCCAGTCTTTCACGGGAAAATATTCCCTGTGTCAGGGCATTTCTTTTGTAATCTTTCTCTTTTCTCACTTGAGAAAGCCTTGCTACATGCATCCAAGGACTATACGAGGGGAAATTTATGTGAATATGGTCAATAAAACATTCTTGGATTTCATATTCTTGTAAACTGAAGATGACTCTCAACATTTTTAGAATAATTATTTCCTTTAATTTTAGTTGTGAGAAAAAAAAATGTCACATGAATCTTTGTATGGCTCGTATGTTTTAGTTCTCTGAAATAAATTATTTATTTTCCACACAATGAAAAGACAAGGCAAGGCAATGACACCAAAAAAACCCTACCAGCTGCTCAACACCAAATAACCAATACCCAGCCAGCTCCCAAGCAATGGCAACCCTGCCACCATCCCACTATCCGCACCCCACAGTTTTATTGCTGAGCCTGATCTCATATGGGGTGGGATATTCCTTTGGTCAGTTGGGGTCAGTTGTCCCTGCTGTGTCCTCTCCCAGCTTCTTGTGCTCCCCTAGCCTACTCCCTGGTGGGGCAGATTTAGAAAGAAAAGGCCTTGATGTTTTGTAAGCAGTACTCAACAAAAACTAAAACATTGATCTGTTACCAACACTGTTTTCATCACAAATCCAAAACACAGCAACAAACAAACTACTATGAAGAAATTTAAGTCTATCCCAGCCAAAAAAAGTACAAAGTGTTAGTAATTCCATTATAATCTCTGGATTTTTTTTGGTTTATGACAATGAAGAAAGTTTGCTTTAGGGCTGAGACAAGAGTATAGATTTATGTATAATATGAGACATAACTTTTTTTTTCTATCATGTTGTGGATTAATCTGGCAGGCAGCTAAACACCACATAGTCATGTGCTTGCTCCCCATCCACCCCACCCCCAAGTGGGATTGGTGACAGAATAAGAAAAAAAAACAACCCTAAAATTTGTGAGTTGAGATAAAGACAGTTGAATAGGACATAAAAGGGAGGAGAAATAATAGTAATCATCATAGTAATAGACTATAGAAAAGAAATTATGCACAATGCAGTTACTCACCACCTGCTGTCCAATGCCCAGGTGAGCAGCAGCCCCCAGCCAGCTTTCCCCCTAGTTTATATACTGAGCATGACGCCATGTGGTATGGAATATCCCTTTGGCCATTTTGGGTCAGTTGTCCTAGCTGTGTCCCCTCCCAGCTTCTTGTCCCCTTCCCCAGCCTCCTGTCAAGGCAGTATGAGAAGCTGAAAAGTCCTTGACTTAGTGTA